TGATTTATCAGTCTACTCAGGCTTTAGCAGAAACTGTTTGTAAAAAAGCTGTTAATTAAGTTGTTTCTTCAGAGTAAATCTTTACATGATTTTAAAATATTAAAAAGTATTGATGGTGTTTTTTTCAAATATGGTATTTATTTTTACCCCCCTAAAATCCCTGACGTATTACATAGAAAGGCTTATTATTCAGTAACTACAGGGACTTCAACGCAAACTAGCTGAGCTATTCTTAGGTTATAGAAGTGTGTAGTAAAACTTTGGCCTCATTGGCCATTTAAGGGGTAAATTGAGTGAATATGTATTCTAAAAGTATTCTCCTACAAATAAAAAAGGTAACTGTATTCTGAATACTGCCTTTACAAAATAAATACCTTGGACTGATACTTCTCTCTGTTTTCTGAATACATATTCCAAACACTTGTATTCTGCTACATCTTAACCCTGACAATGGCACAAATGATGAGGATATCAAAGGGTGGCTGCACACACAGCAGGTATCGCTAATAAAATGAGGAAACAGACAAAAAATGTGAAACAAGTGTAAATAAAAGTGACTATAGAGCTTGGAGTAAAACAGAGTACCAGAGTTGTGTCACTGTCTTTGATTATTCACCGTGCCCTACCCACTAAGCCCTGTGATTAAACACAGCGATGTCACATACTGAAACCCACTCACCCCAGCCCCCCCACTCAGACTCTCACATGCCTGAGTTTCACCTTTATTATCATTACAAAGAGCCACACAGCACAGCTCACAGGAAGTGACGTTAGTTTGCATTTTTTAAGATTTTCTGATTAACATCAGCACAGACTGGTACATCTTCCCTGTTGGTGGAAAGCGTGTTCTGTGCTTGTCTGTGCTGCAAATACTTGTCAGGACATGTTTGTTTTTTTTTTTCTTTAGTCTCTAACATTTTCCCACCGTAATTTACTAAAAGCAAACCGCCCAGTTCTGGATTTGAATGTAAGATTGTTGCTGACAGCTGTCACAACCTGCAGGATCATTTAAGACTTAACTGTTTCGTAATAACTGTGTGGTCACATCACTGGAACAACATGTCTATAAACACTGCCAGTGTATTTAAGACTAAAATGTGTTGTTAGAAGCTTCTTTTGCATTTCTTTTCCCATTAACACTGTTATATTTAATGTACTAATACTAAAAGAAGTGTATCAAAGCTGGGCTTATGCAAATTAGGAAAGTACTAAAATAAAAACTTTTTTTTCTATGGTATTAAGCATTTCTCTTTGTACTTTGCAGCTACGTTCTTAAAAAAGATGGTTCTTCAAGGGTTCTTTAGTAAAGGGAATGGTTGTATTTATAACCATGAGTTCTATAAAGAACTATTTTATGCTTAAATGGTTCTTTTGCATGGTGATTGGTGGAGAATGTGTTGTATATGGTTGTTTATAGCACTAATTCTACTATTGTTACAACGTCAAGATTGTAAACAATAGCAGAATTCTTTTGGGTTCAACATATTCTCCATTAATCTGCAGAACGATTTCACCATGAAAAGAACCATTTAAGCATGAAATGGTTCTAGAACTCATGCGTCTAATAGAACCATTCCCTTTACTAGTGTAGGTTAAAATCAGATTGTCTCAAAAGGTCTCGAGGAAGTGGGAAAGATTTCAAAGTTACTGTGAAGTTATTTGCCATCCTTACTTGTTAGAATAATTCTAATTATAAAATATGAGTTTGTGTGAAAAGAACAATACTACAGGTAGGAGACTGACCAGGGATAGCCAGGCAAAATTTCAAATTTACAGCCTTACTTCAAATCTAGTCGATCAGCCAAGACATGTTTGGTGTCTGAAGTTTGCTTCTTTAGTTTTAGCACTGAAGCTATGAGGCTAATGTAGCTAACAGGTAATAGAAGACTTGTAGACTTCATATGTCTGACATGCTTTAACCTAAAATATTTGTCTATATGTATTTAATTCTACTTTTTTCTCCATAGTTCAGTCTCTGAGATGTAAACAGAGTGATTTAGAGTGGTTTGGTGTGAAATGGTTCAGATTTCTTTACAGCGGTGGTGATAGGAATCATGACTACGGCACAAATATAGACATTTTATTTACTATCCCAAACCACCAGTGAACCTACACGTGTCTTCTGAGTTTATGTGGAATATTGATGATGGTAAACAGGGAAAAATCTGAAAAAAATTAATTTCCTTTGGGGACTATTTAGTGTCACGACACTCTGCGTGTATCCCTCCACCATGAAATTACTTTTTAGGTCAAGCCTTCCTAAAACTACTGCAAATCAATGTCCCAGGCATCAAAAATCCCCACTTATCCCCACTCGGTAAGTTGTGCTCCTTATTAAAGCACTTTGAATGACTTGTTTACATCTTAAATATTTAATTTAGCAGATTAAAAAAAAAAAATCAGTGGAATCCCCCTTTAATATCTCCCCTTGCTTGCTGCCAAGTGTGCACATCCAGTTAGCGTGATGCTAACAGGTGATGTATGAGCTTCCATTATTTATTAACTACATTAGCTCCAAAACTAAAGAAGCAAACTTCAGACCCAACATGTCTCGGCTGATGGACTACATTTGGGGTAAAGGGGGAAGCTGAGCAAACTACATTTTCAGCCAAACAATTGCTTTAATGTTCGCACCAGCCAGCGTCTCACATTTCGGCTGCTTTCTGACAGTCACCTTAAAAAGTAGATGCTATGCTAGCCGTCTTTCCTCAGCTCCTTAATTGTGGAAATTCTTTCCCTGTGTACCTGCACGTGGAACTCTATCCAGCGACCCCAAGCCAGGAGAGATTTTAATGAGCTACCTTCTGAGAAAGAGTCTTTATTGTCCTAACGGCGGTTTTGGCTTCTGAACAGTGCTCTCTTTCTTTAATGAAACAATCAGTATCTCTTACTCTCTCCCTCTCCTTCCCTCTTTCTGGAAAAGGCAAAACCTGCGAGCCCCAAAGGTTTTGTGTTTTTTTTTTTTGCCCCCCACCGCCATGTCCTCCACGGCAGACCCTCGGACAGTGAACGCTTAAAGCATACAGAACCATTAACTGCTATAGAACCTGCTAGAGAGTCTTCAGAACAGACCTCATCTCTTCCTCAGGACGTTCTGTGAAAGGTCAGATAATTTTCTGCATGTTTTCAAGCTTTAATCAGTGTTGATTTTCTAGGAAATTATTGGGGAGGATCATTTTTCATGGACTTTAGATGTCAGAGCTCATGTTAAGGACGTAATCTAAGTAATGTGGTGTTGTTTTTGGCAGTGATAGGGATGCACAATGATGTCGGAAGCATATCGGTATCAGCTGATATGTCACCGTCGGACATTGTACTCCAGAAGAGCAGGTGACGCTGAGTTACTGTGCTATTTATGCGGCGCTGGGTTATTGTGTTATTGCGCTATTGTGGTACTGAGTTTATTATTAGAAATAAGTGTTGCTATTCCAGGTGAATCTAGTCTTAATTTCTACATTTTACAAATGTTTATGTATCGGCATTGACACATATGTACACGAAAAATATCGGATCTCGGCATCGGCCCGCTATTCCTATATCTGTGCATCCCTTGTGGGAATATTTTGGAGCTACCAGGGTGAAAACGCTGCAAGTCTGAAAGAATATTGTCAAAAGCACTGAATTAGCATTGTTTACTTTACGTTGTAGATTTAGGCCTGTTGTATTTTTGCCTTCGGTACAGTCATTGGGTTCAGTAGTTTGATGATATTACAGAAATAAGAGATACACTACAAGGGATGCATGATGTTAAAGGAAGCATATCGGTATTGGCTGATACTTGCTCAAAAAAAAATCAGCATCGGACAGATGCTAAGATTTGAACTTAGTTTTATAAACTTCGTACATTTATTTCTGTTTTTCATTTTACTTTTTTTACTTTTTCATAGTGTGAAAAGTCTTATTTAATTGACTTATATTATGAGTTCAGAATGTTTTTCTCTTCTCATGTAAAGTTACCATTGTAGTGGATGACATGTAATTATTCCAGTACTTTTTCTGGCAGAGCTGAATGTTTAGGCAACAATGAGTTACTGCACTAAAATATCTGCATTTGATTCCGCTTTCTTAAAGAAATGTGTTGCAATTCTCTGTAATCCATGTGGATCTTGTCTGAATTTCTATAATTTATAAATGTTTATGTATCAATGTCGGCTGATATGAGCATGAAAAATACCAGATATCGGCATAAATGCTTAGGAACGTCTTGCTTTGCTATCATTGTGAAAACACTGCAAATCACAAACAATATACAAACACTGTGTTAACATGGTCTTCTTCATAATGCAGATTTAGGCATGTTGTGTTTGTGCATTTGGTCTTCGTTTTTTGATGATATTACAGGAAGAAGGGATAAACTACAAGATATTTATTTACATTGAGTGATTTTTGGCATGTGTAGTTTTAGGTAGACACTGTGACTATGCACTGTTTGTTCAGGTTGAAGTTCCAGGTGCCAGAGAGCCTTAATTTAAGTTAAACAAGCACTATTATTTCTACCTGTCTTCACCCCACAGACACACCTATTCACCTGTATTTGTTCGCTTGCAACATACCTTTTCAAATGTCACAAAGTAACGCCGTTCAACGCCTTCTAAAAGGTCTTTTGATTGGTTTTCGCTGCTGCATACTTCTGTCCAATCAGGCTTTGTATTTGCTGCTGAAAATATTTCACTTGTGCACCACTTTTGATTCTCTGGAGAAGATATAACTCGATCAGTGTAGGTTTCTTAAAATATTATATAAATATTCTGTCTGGATCCACCCAGACACAAACATGGCTCAATGCTGAGATTTACTAGAAACCAGTTATTTCCATGAGCAGACCTGTAGACTCACTGTGTCGCTATGACTCACCTGGGGACCAGTCTGCTATGGAAACACAAAACCTGAAGAGCTGGGACAATCAGCTGGAGGGGGAGGGGGGAGTCATGTCGAGGTTACTCATACGTGCGAGTGTGTGTCACTGCCCCTCCTTATTTGAAGCATATAAAAAGGGGCCTGCTCTCACCCCTCATCAATATCACCCCATCTCCAGCAACACTACAAGACATATTCTCTTGGACTAAGGAATCAAACAAGAATGGTGTCCGCCGGGATGCAGATGCTGGGCACGGCCCTGGCCATCATAGGCTGGGTCATGGCCATCGTGGTATGCGCTCTTCCCATGTGGAAGGTCACGGCCTTCATCGGGCAGAACATTGTGACGGCGCAGACCACCTGGGAGGGAATCTGGATGAGCTGTGTGGTTCAGAGCACCGGGCAGATGCAGTGTAAGGTCTACGACTCCATGCTGGCCCTCACCTCGGACCTGCAGGCTGCTCGGGCCCTCTGCGTCATCTGTATTTTGGTTGGACTGGTGGGAATCCTGCTGGCCATGGCTGGTGGAAAGTGCACCAACTGCGTTGAGGACGAAAGCGCCAAGGCCAAGGTTGGCATCGCGTCCGGCGTCGTCTTCATCATCTCTGGCTTGATGTGTCTCATTCCAGTCTGCTGGACGGCCAATGCCATCATCCGGGACTTCTACAACCCAGTGGTCATTAGCTCACAGAAGATGGAGCTCGGAGCTTCTCTGTACATCGGTTGGGCCGCAGCCGGATTGATGATCATCGGAGGAGCCTTGCTCTGCTGTAACTGCCCACCCAAGGACAACTACGCGGCCACGTATTCGGCAGCCAAGTCAGGACCCAAGGGGTACGTGTGAGAAGATGCTCGGAGTTCGGACTTCATGTGGTTATCATGGTACGCTGTATATTGGTCAGCTGCTACGTGTTCTGCTGTGTTGTATCATAAGGTGCCAAGCAAAGAATGGCCTAACGGGCTGTAACAGGGAGGCAGAGTTGGCCAAAATTTGGTGTGACACTTTTTCGTTTACATTTACTTTTGTTATACATACATACATACATTGATTTTCAATGCTGTAATGTGTCTTTAGATTGTGAATATTCATTGAAAGCAGCATTTCAAATGTGCATGAAGCTGTATTTTAATCAGAATATCATAACATACATAACATTTCTTTTTGACATTGTATATTTTTTTAATGTGGTGCAAATTATTTGTTCCTCTGCTGTGTTTGACTGTAAATAAATGTTTTTTTAAAAGTAAAACACTAAAGTGGTTTCAAAATGCTGATGAGAACTTTTATATGCAAAGAGTACTGCAAACCATATGTTTTGTAATAGAGCTGGTGATGTAGACACTTTTTTATTTGAATTTTTAATAGTAAAGGAAGAGGTCACTCTGAACATCAGTGGAAATAAAGCAGATCTCATGTGTTAATAAAAGACTGGTCATTTCTGACATCTGAATACTTTTGGAGAAAAGAAGAGATTAAAAGGTTTTAACTGTAAGAAGTTCTGAAGACTTTTCAGGAAAAACATGAGGTCTTCTCATCTGTTTTCAGCATTCTAGAAAGACAATGAAGACAGCAAATGTGAAATAAGGATAATAAATAATAAAACATAATTAGTGAGGTTTTTTTGGGTTCTTTCATAAATTAGTTTCCCTTTGCTTTGATGTAGCTTTATGTACTCTTAGTGTTCTCTTAAACAGCTTCTTAAGGAACCACCTGAAATGGTTTTCCAGCAGGATACACCTATGTTTATTCTACTGGAAAACCATCTGTTTTTGGTCTGAGACCTTGTTATTACTGTCGGGGAGCCATTATAATGTATATGTATGTATAATTTACTTACACTTAGAAAAGCAAAGAACACATGGAGTATATATATCACTGTTGTCGGAAGAAAATGTTACCATCTCCGAAATGGTAACTTTACAGGAGAAGGAAAAAACATACTTTACGTTTAATGTAAGTCAATGGAACCAGAATTTTTCCCAAGTCATTTTGGGCCGGATCTTTTGGTCCGTTCTTCATGAAACTTACACACAATGTAAAGGGTAACAGGTACTTTGGAATTGTGTCAAAAACTGAAATACGTCAAAAATGGAGATAATGAGGTTTTCTTTTGACAGCAGCGATATATGTATATATACAGTAATTGTGCATTAAAATGTGCAGGAATGTGTGCTGTTTGTAGATAATTTAACTATATATATATATACACATTATCTACAAACAGCACATATACTTTTACCTAAATACATAAATAAAGCATAAAATGTGGCCTGTACATTTTATGTTTTATGTTTTATTTTTTGCCATATGTTAAACTAAGCAAATAAATAGAAGTTGTGGACTAAAATGTGCACAAAAATGCCAAATATAGGTTTGTTCCAGATATATGCCTTGATAATTTGGGAATAGTAAATGTTATTAAATAATAAACTCTACTATCTTTTTATAGTAATTTCTTGTCATGGAATTTCTATAAATAAAAATTCTTGATCAGCAACATTGGGTCACTGCTTTTCATATATGACATATTTTAGATATTGACATTCATTCATCTTTCTCAGTTAGCATGGAATCATCTGCAGCACCGTTAATCACTGACATAGTACACAATTTTACAGCTATAAAACAACAGCATCATATTACCATCACTTTACTTTAATCGACCTGCAACAAAACTGATTCCAAACTTGCACAGGTGCTGAACACTGCCCTTCAAAAGTTTGGGAACACCTTGTTTTCTTATGAAATTTTAGAGTAATGTTTGATTTTTAGTGTTTGTTAAGAGACAATGTGCTATGCAGCTTTGATCTTCAACATTCAAAGGATCTTCTTTCTAAATATTCTATTCTATTCTAAATTCTAAATAATGATTTGACAGTTTTCTTTTCTATTAACTACTATTAAAAAAACATACTGAAACTCTTTGGCCCAAAAGTTGTTTTAACACCTGGCAAGTCTGAGTGCTGACATCACCATTGTAGCACTTTTGGTTCTTGTTCCCTTAACTTTACTGTTTTTAAATGCTGAGTTATTGCAAAGCAAAAAGATGCTTCTCTATTAAAATAAAAAAAACATGCTCATGTACTGAAATGGTGGGTGGCCCAAAACACATGCACATGAGAATGAAACCCAGTGGTGCTTTAGTCTATGTTCTCTATTCACGGACTCCCAGATCTAATCACTACTGCCCTCTGCTGCTGATGTTTAAGCCAAGGCAAGCTCTGAGTCATACTTTCAGTCTGGAATTACCCCACAGGCAATTACCCCGCCTCTGGCTGCTCTCAGAAACCAGCCCATAAACATAAATACTGAAAACACAATTAGTTTTGGAAGATCTGGTGTTGTAAACTCATTATCTCAAACTGTCTTGTTGGTTCAACCAGTTTTTTGACATAAACATGAGCCTAAGATCACCTAGAGGGGTATAAAGCACCCCAGCATTGTGGAACTGTGTTCTCTGGAGTGATGGAGCTCCATCCAGTACCTTTGGGATGAGTTGGATTGATCCAGAACTGACCATCCAACATCAGTACCTGACCTCACTAATGCTCCCTGCGAATCACAGAAACCACTGAATGTTACTGTTGGTTTCTGATGGTTTTCTAACGTGTTCTTAAATATTTCATTGATGGGTCTTGATGGGTTGATGTCACACTGTAAAGAATCCGGTAACACTTACCATGAATACCATGTCAGTAAGCATCTATAAGCACTTTCATAACATGTTATAATGCATTCATAAAGTATTACAAACATGACTATAAATACTAAAGTAATCACAATATATACACTGTAAAAAAATGGCTTGTCAAATTAGCCTAAATAAATACTTTATGTGGTAACAAGTAAATGAACTAGTTTAACTCAACCTAAATAAATACTTTGAATGAATGATTCTTTCAGTCAATGTAATTTTTGAATAAACTAGTTTTATTGCTTGTTACAACATAAAGTAGTTTTTTGGGTTGATCTGATGAGCCATTTTTTGCAGTATAGCCGTGTTTATTGTACATTATAAACTGCTAACATCATGCATTATAAATAGTGCCAACGACGTCAGTCCCAGCTTACAGAGTGTAAATTAACCGTTGTGTGGTGTCAATGTTGTTGTTACTCAGTGGTCTGGTGGATCCTCCACATTATTGGTTTTTTAAATCAATACAGTCAGAGCAATTTATGTAAAGACACAAATGTTTAAAATATCACAAGTGTCCAGCATAGGGTTCTCCTTTAGCAGCTGTAGCCAGTCAGCAGCCTGTCCATCTTCACACACACACACACACACACACACACAGTGAGTGAAGGACACAGCACCTCCACACTTTTACTCCCTAGATGTTCACCCACATGTGTAATATAAATGTGTGGGGGGTGAACAGAGTGAAGGCACTGAAAATGGACTATTTTATATGTTCTTCACAGAAAATGAGCAAAGGTGAAGAATCTGAGGTTGAAATAATAATAAATCACATCATTTTTTCTTTTAGTAAACATTGAAAATGTAAAAAAGAACACACAAGGGTTAAGACAAATAAGTTTATTTACACCATGGCATTTCCAATAATTTTAATTCTCATTGCTGGTTTTGTTAGGGCTGGACCATCTGGGCTCTGTTCTAAATATTTAGATGCCCCAAACAAGCTGTCCAGCCCAGAGTTGTTACTACAATGTACTTTCCTTTACCAGCTCTCTCACTTTAAACACTGCATTACATCACAGAAACCCAAGTACCCATCAGGCCCCTCCCTCTGACATCACACTGAGCATGAAGTTACTGTGGAGTGAATGCATGCAGAGTAAGAGGCAGGTTAGGGCACTTTCAGAAATAAGGTACTAAACTGTCACTGGGGTGGTTCCCTCAAGGTAACATCTCAGTACCTTTAGTCAGGGAACATAACTGTACCATAACCCACTGATATTATATTTTCTACTCCAGGTTTTTTATTTTACTGTTCTGTTTTAAAACATTCAGTTATGAAAAGGTACAAATACAAACTTTTCACCTGGAAAAACTTATTTAAGGTTCACAATCAGACCTTAAAACCACTGTTGTACCTTTGAGGGAACATTTACATTGTTTGTACCTTGATGAGTGAAAAATATACCTGCACAGAACCTTTATTTCTAACAGTGTAGAGTGCTATCATTGTAATTTGCTCCCTCACTGGTTCTAACATTAACCACTAGAAACCCTCAATTTGTAACATCACTATTCTGCACCACAGTAATGCTAATTTCTGCTAGCATTCTATTGGATATGCCGTGTTACGTTAGCGCCAAGTTTATGGTGGTGTACATTGACTTTCCCAACATTGGGTGAAATACTACTGATGGCAGCACTATAGTTTAAACTCTGACATTTGAAGCTTGTAATATGCTTTACTTTGTATGTTTTAGTGTTTCAGTAAATCATTCAGCTTGAAGCTTCACTCTTAATACTGGAGGAGTCTTTAGAATAAAACACGCCTCACATTAATTACAGCTGACAAATACAACTTACAAGCTCATATAGCATTATTAACACTACTTACAGTGCATTAACAATTTATAATGTATAGTATGCATGGTAATAAAGTGTAATGCATTTTTATAAATATTTATAACCATGTTTATAATGAATAAACAGTTATTAGTTATTATGAATGCATCAGAATGTGTTATGTATTTGTTCATAGGTTATTTTGGACATGGTATTTCTAGAAAGTGTTACTAAGAATCCTAATGGTTTATCCCCACTACCCATCACGTAACCTAACCCTTAAAGAACCCTCTTTTATAGTAGTGTAGTGGAAGGCCTTCACAAAAGAGTAGAAGCTGTTACTGCAGCACAACTATTAAAACACTTAAAGTAAAGGTGAGTTAAGATGAATCGTCAAATGTCATAAGTAGACTTCAGGAAGAGCCAATTTACGGCCAACAACTTCATCTTCATCTTCATCTTCTTAACCCACTTGATCCAGATAGGGTCGCAGTTGCAATAGGGAAAGCAGAGAAGCCCAGACGGCCCTTTCCACAACTTTCAGCTCATTCTGGGGGATCCCAAGCTGCTCCCAGTCCAAATTGGAAGTATAATCCATCCAGCAGGTCCTGGGACGACCTAAGGGTCTCATCCCAGTCAGCCGTGCCTGGTAAACCTTCAATGGGAGGCGGCCAGTGGGCATCCTAATCAAATACCTGAACCATCTTAACTGGCTCCTCTCAATATGAAGTAGTAGCAGCTCTATGGCTTTACTACTATGATGATGGCAAAAATGCTGGTCCAAATGTTGCATATCGGTAGAAAAGCAGCAGGAAAGACCTTTTTACAAATATGAGGCATTCTGGATATTCACTGTAAGTCCATTTGTGATGCTATACAGCTTTCTCAGTTATTATGGAATCAGCGACAGCTTTGTTTCACCATTAAAAGTTATTTTTAAAGCTTCCTA